CTGCTGCAGGGCTGAAGGCTGTCAAATAGTTCATTGACATGTACTGATTACAACCTTGTCCATCAGATAAAACAGGATATAATTAATCATCTCCCTCCAGACACTAGGAAACCTATATGCTCATTAACCTTTTACCTATATACAATGGTAATCACATATTTGCTTTATCTTGTGTGTAAAGTCTCTGAGCACCAATCAAAATTGAAAGAATGTCACCTTTGTTTCACTGCTCCCCTTCTCCTATTTTCTGTGTAACAGAACTGTGTCTTGTATAGCCCACTCGAGGACATATTTTCAGTTTGGGGTGAGTTTTGTGTTCCCCAGGCTATTAATCGTCGAAATTGGCTTAGAATAAAATTAACTTAAAATTTCTTTAAGGTGTAATGTCTGTTATTTAACCTTTTAGTTGACACAGTGTCCAACATACAATGTGAAATAAATACACACACACACACAAACACAAACTAAAAATAAAGAATTGTTTTTGACCAGTTTATGTTTTGCACTACCAAATAGAATTCAAATTATTCATTTTAAGTGACTGTCAGTTAGAAAACTCAATTTGATTCAGTTTTCACAAAACATAAAAGTGCTAATAATGTTTGAGATTCCTGTATTTGAGAGATACAAATACAATTAAAATATGGTGCCTTTCCTTAAGAAATTAAATCTAGAGAAAAAGGACTGACCTGTAAACCAACATTATCACATCTGAAGATGCTAAATTCCATGATAATACTGGTGTGATTTTAGGAGAATAATTACCCAAGAAAAAAGTTTGATTAATATCACATTCTATAAAAGTATGACAAGAGCTAGAGAATAGACAAATATAAATTTAAATATGAATAAGACATATTTTACACATATCTGTCCCTTAATAGGGTTTTTTGTCTATTTCAACCCTTCATTCAAAGAATATAAATATCTTCATCCAATGAACAAACAATATACTTAAAATTTGAAAGTAATTACAAATATAATTCTTTCTCTTCAAAAACATAAAGGAACATGAAGGCCTTTAATTGTTTTTTAATCTAACCAGCCTAAATCAATGTCATTTACGTCATTCATGAAGGAGCAAAGGAATCAATAGAGATGAAACAGTAATTAAAGAAATTATGAAAAAAAATTCCTAGGCTGAAGAAATGTAAATTTTGTAATTAAAAGGACTAAGAAAAGCAAGCAAAAGTATAGAGACTAAATGTAAATGACCAGTGAACGTAAGAAATAATCCTAAACTGAATAGAGGAAATGATTGATTTATGGCTCACTAAACAAGACAGAACTGATCATGAAGAACTGAACACTGAATGTCAGTGTAAATATTCAAAAGATTGGCTGTAGAAAGTTAGGAAGTTTCTTGATATAAAATATATGAATATCTCTATGAAAAAACATTCTTCTTAAAATTACATTAACACATTTTCTAAGGTGATATCTGATGAAAGCTGCAAACTAAAAATAAAATTCTAAGCCCGCTTCAACCCCAACCATCTGAATGGACTCCTTCCTCTCAGCCAGGGCACTCCAGAGTTAACCTAAAAGATGGGTTCAGGCCATGATGGAAAGCAAGGGGCAGTTAGACATGCCTCATTATACCCTCCTCCCTTTTGGAATGCAGGGAAAGCTGGCCAGCATTTAACATCAACACAGACCTTAAGTCTGATAAGAAATATTTACAGTCTATTCTCTCTGAAGCCTGTTACCTAGAGAATTCATCTACATGATAAAACTTTGGTAACTATAACTTCTTATTATAAACCAGACATTCCTTTCTACTGATAATAACTCTTTCAACCAATTGCCAATCAGAAAATTTTTAAATCTACCTATGTCCTGGAACCCACCACCCCAGCTTTGAGTTGTCCCACCTTTCTAGACCAAGTCAATGTATATCTTAATTATATTTGATGGATGCTTCTTGTCTTCCGAAAATGTATAAAACCAAGCTGTACCCTGACCACCTAGGGCACATATTCTTAGGGTCTCCTGAGGGCTGTGTCATGGGCCATGGACACTCATATTTGGCTCAGAATACATTTCTTCAAATATTTTACAGCAGAGGTCCCCAACCTTTTTGGCACCAGAGACCAGTTTGGTGGAAGAAAATTTTTCCACAGACAGGGTTGGAGAATTATTTCCAGATCATTCAAGTGCATTCCATTTATGATGCACTTTATTGCTATTATTGTTGCATTGTAATTAATAATAAAATAATTATACAACTCCCCATAATGTAGAATCAGTGGGAGCCCTAAACTTGTTTTCCTGCAACCAGACGGTTCCATCTGGTGGTGATGGGAAACAGTGACAGATCATCAGTCATTAGATTCTCATAAGGAGTTTGCAACCAAGATCTCATGCATGCACAGTTCGCGATAGGGTTTGCACTCCTATGAGAATCTAATGCTGCCACTGATCTGACAGGAGGTGGAGCTCAAGTGGTAATGTAAGCAATGGGGAATAGCTGTAAATACAGACAAAACTTCATTTGTTCACTCACCGCTTACCTCTTGCTGTCGTTACTAATAGGCCACAGCATTAGTCTGTAGCCAGTGGTATGGGATCCCTGTTTTACAGATTGTCACTCTTTTTGCCAACAGAACTTTAGTCCTAAACTTAAAGAAACAGTTCTGTACCAGTGCTATGCTTTAGAAGAACATTAACCATGACTAAGGAAGGAAAGCTACAGGTTTTAAGGACACTAAGCACTGGTTGGCTTTTTGTGTATGTATACCAATGGTACAGGATAAACTGGACCGTAATTAGAAAAAGCCAATGTACATGGTGTATGAAGTATATAGCAATTTATCTACATCACTAAGTGGACAATAAAGAAGGGATAATCAGAGAAGTATTTCTTGACTAGTTGAAAGACCACTTTGTACCAGGGACATGAGGTCACTATAGGCAATCTGGACTAGAACAAAAACTGTAAAATTTATTCTTCTCAGACAACTGCTCTTTATATCCTCTCCTGGTCCTCTTGTAAAAAGTAACATTTTCAATATTTGTTACCCCACCCCCCCATACACACACACAATGTAACATCTGTGACAAAGACATATGGCTATGAAATTTTATATTCTATTAATAAAAGTATAAAATTTTCTTTAACTGTGGGCTAGCTGTATTTAACAGAGGTCCAAGAAACCAAGATCTGAATGAGTTCAGTATTAATGATGCCATTTCCTCTGTTGCTAATACTTGGACCCATGTTGATTTGACATGATCCTTGAAAAAGTCAATTAAAAGGCCAACTTTCAAAGTATTAACTCATTACTCAGTAATTCTGTTTCCATCCCATCATAAGATGCTCAAACACCACCTGACAACAAAGATAGCAAAACCGATATGTCCTCTTGTCCAATGTCCTTAAGCAACCTGAGGTATGATTTAAAAGTCATTGTGTTTATATACAGGTCTGATATGATTTGGCTCTGTCCCCACCCAAATCTCATCTTGAATTGTAATCTCCATAATCCTCACATGTTGAGAGAGGAACTTGGTGGGAGGTGATTGGATCATGGGGCAGTTTCTTCCATGCTGTTCTCATGATAATGAGGGAGTTCTCAGGAGATCTAATGGTTTTATAAGGAGCTCTTCCCCTTTCACTCCTCACTCTTCTCTCTCCTGCCACCATGTGCAGAAGGTCCTTGCTGACCCTTTGCCATCTGCCACGATTGCATGTTTCCTGAGGCCTCCCCAGTCATGTGGAATTGTGAGTCAATTAAACTTCTTTCCTTTATAAATTACCCAGTCTCAGGTAATATGTGTATAGCAGTGAGAATGGACTAATACAAGGTCTTTAACTTAGTTTGAATCTGTATGTGTTTAAGAGTATATTGAATATTTTTCCTAGAACTAAGAAGTATCCAAATATTTTGGGTCTATTATTATCCAACTATTTCACTTGTCAGTTTATTTCAATATAAACTGTAATATTAAAATTATACATATTTGTCAAATTTAGTATAAATCTACATATATTTGTTTGCAAATATGTTTATGTATTTGATTATAGAGTGTCGTGCTAGATAGACTTCATTGGGGATATTCTGTGTTATCATTTTAAAAATCAGAAAAAATCTGAATTACAAAAGCCTACCTTCAGGGCTTTCAGACAAGTGATAAAGAACTGTATCCATACCAGGATTATTATGAAGTTTTCAAAACAGAATACATTTTAAGGTGAAAATATTAAATTGCAGAATTATATTGATGAGAAGCATTTCTGAATAGCTGTTAATCTTATTTATGTTCTTTGTATGTGATGAGTCATTTTTCTCTTGCTGCTTTCCAGATTTTCTCTTTGCAGTTAGCTTCCAGCATTTTTCCTATGAAATGTCTGAGAGTGGATCTCTTCTGTATTTACCCTGATTGCAGTTCACTGAACTTCTTAAGTGTGAAGATTAATATTTTTTAGTGTTTGTGAAGTTTTTTGCCATTATCTCCTTGAATATTTTTTATACTCCTTTCTCTTTCTCTTCTCAACACTCCCATTACATGAAAGTTGGTTTGCTTAAAGGAATCCCATTATTTCTCTAAGGGTTCTACTCATTTTGTCATTTTGTTTTTTCTCTTTTCTTTGGATTGCACTCAACTCTATTATTATATCTTCAAGTACACTGATAATTTAGCCTGCCAGTTCAAATCTATGATTGAGACACTCTAATAAATTTCAACTCCAGAATTTCCATTTATTTCATGGAATATAGTTCACATATATAGTTATGTGTCACTTAATGATAGAGATATGTTCTGAGAAATGAGTTGTTAGGCAACTTTGCCATTGTGCAAACATCAAAGAGTCTACTTCCACAAACCTAGATAGTAGCGCCTACTACACATCTAGGCTTTACGGTTTGCCATGATAGCCTTATGGGACCACTGTCACATATGCAATCATCTTTGACTGAAATACTATGTAGCACATGACTCTGTGTGTGTGTGTGAGTATGTATACACATATACGCATATATAATTGTGCATGTGTATAAAATTTCAATCTTTTCTCTTTATTGACATTCTCTAGTTGAGGAGACATTGTGTTCATATCTTCCTTTACCTCGTTAAACATGGTTTCCTTTAGTTCTCTGGACATATTCACAATGGCTACTTCAAAGTCTTTAATAAATCCGATATCTGGTCCCTTTTCCAGGCAGTCTTTGCAGCTTTTTCCCCCTCCTGTATATGAGTCACACTTTCCTGCTTCTTTAGATGTCTTTTAATTTTTTGTTGGAAATTGGTTATTTTAGGGAATATATTGTAGCAATTGAGGGTACAGATTTGCTTCCTCCCTCTTCTGAGCTTGTTTTTGTTATTGTTGGTTTATTTTATGACTTGGCTAGGATATTTTAGCAAATTATATTTTTTTCTACTCTGTGAAGCTTTTGATGCCACTCTTCAGAGGGTACAGCCTTGGGCATTCACACTGTTACCTTGGGATGACAGTGAATTTGGCAAGGCTCTCTTTTTCTGTACTCTCTCTGTTAAACTGTGTGCCTCATTCTGTGTTATATGCCAGCCCATTAGTCTCCAATAATTATCAACTAATTACTCTATTGATTTAAAAAATGCTCTAGAGTGTAAATTGCTGAGCAGTCTGATCCAATTAAATTCAGGCAGAGACAGTTTTGAGGGCTGTTCTCAGCTGTCCCTTGTTCCGGTTCTCTCTGGTGAACTAGATGTCCTGAAGTACAGCTTGTTGCTCTTAAATTTAGAGAAGAAATTATTTTCAAGAGCAGCATTAGGCTTGAACCTTATGTTTCAAATAAAGTTAATTTCTTTGGGGAGAATTTCAGAGTTTTTTTCTTACAGACTGTCTTTTCCCCTGGGCAGTCTCCAAGCCACTATTCTAGGAGCTGAGCAGGGCAGTAGGTTCCAGTCTTCTTGGCTTGCCTCTTCTCTTGTGAAACTTCTCTCCTATAATGAGTTGCAATGAGGGAAATTAGGGTATCAATATTCTTGTCTTGCTGATCCTAATATAAAGCCTCTTTCTTATGCATGAAGACTGGGTGAAAAAAGAGAGCCCCCAACCTCTCAGCCACAATCACCAGGAAATTAGTCTTTTAAATTTGAGTTGAAGGGGATTAGAAATGCTGGCAGACTGCCCCTACTAATAAGATACAGTAACCCTAGATTGGAAGCTGAGGGGAGAGGGAGTTCCACCATCTTGGCCACATCTGCACGAGTTCAGCTTACCTTATGTTGCACTTGCAGGGGAAGATGGAATGAGTCATGACTCAAGTGGAATTCTCTGTAATAGTTCATTGTTTAAGAGTTATTTTGATGCCAGCCTTCAAGATTTTTTTCCCACTTTACTACATTCACTTTTGTCCAAATCAACATTTGGCCCAACTTCTCACACAGAACAGCTTGCCTTCAAGTAAATTTATTCCAAATTACTTCAGATAAAATCATACACTTTCTGGACTAGAAGCTTGACTGAGTGCTTGTGCTATATTATGCTTCTTCCTATTAATACACCACTCCACATTAATACATGCTCAATTGTTGGTGCACTGTCATTTATAAAAGCCTTTCAGATGAGTTCCAAAAATAAATATAAGAGAAAATTAAATGCTAAACTGGCAAAAAATAGATAAGAATAAAATAGGGTAAAAAAGAGATATAGTGAGATGAACATAAAAAAATCTATGCCACAAATTCATATATAGTCACTTGCTAAAGGTATAGTATACATTCATCTTAAAATAATTCTCAAAGCAACCATTTACTGCTTAAAAACAAGTTGCAGGGGAAAAAGTTGTTCCTGGTAAAGTTATAAGACAATTTTTCTAAAGCCATCATAAAGTAGAACATAATGTAATGAATAACCTCCTGAAGGTAAAAATAATAAATGGTTTCATGGGGCAGTCTTTTACACTCAATATAAATATATGACATTACAACAAACACTGATAGATTTTGTGAGACACCAATAAAATGTAGCCCTAACAGTCTGACTGCTGCAGAAACACGTTTTTTTGTGTGTTTTAAGAAGTGGTTTTATCCTGGGCAGTACTACCTTCTAGGTAACATCTAGAAATGCATGGATGTACTTCTGTTTGTCATAATGTCTAGGATTCTGATAAAGGACATTCAGTGCCCAGGGTTGCTAAATATATTCCTCAATTCTGAAAGAGTACCTCGTAAGAAAGAACTGTTGCTCTCAAGATAACAGTATCACAACCTCTCCTGCCTTGAGAAATACTGACATAGAATTTTGAATTTCAAGCTATGTTCCACAGAAATGACTCATAAGCTATCATATGTGTGAGATGGGTGAGTTTGCATATTGTGTGTGTGTATATATATGCCTGTGTGTGTCAGTGTTTGAGAAGTAAGAGGGGCTGGTTCTGCCTCCCTAGACTGACCAGAGGAGCTCCATTTTTACCTGTTTTGTATATTAGACCCCCAAATAAGAAAGACATAGTTTAAAACAAGAAGGGAAATATAATTTTATTCATCAGAATCCCAGGGTGGCTTAGAAAAAGGAATCTCAGAAGAGGCAGCTATGGCAGAGAAGCAGAAGCACATCCATGCATTTACAGATGTTGCCTAGCAGGTGGCACTGCCCCTGAGAGTTAGAATCACTTCTTAAAACCCATAAAAATATTATTTCTGCAGCAGCCAAACCACTAGAGAGCTGAATTCCAGGGTAGTATTTTATTGATATCACATAAAACATTGCCAGGTGTTGGAGGTTAAGTGGGAGGCTGCAGAAGATAGAGATGTGGTAGGGTGGAAATGCAAGACAGAATGAGAGAAGAAAGGACATGGCAGAAATAAAAGTTCTTAGACAATGAAATTATTTTCCCCTACATCTTTAGAAAAACAAACTCACAAAAGCCTTGGTTGTTGCATTATCTAATTTGTGTAACAAATCACTCCAAAACTCACTGCCATTTATTATCTCTCACAGTTTCTCTGGATTAGGAATTTGTTAGTGGCATGGCTGGGTATAACTGGCTCAGGATTTCCCATGAAGTTGCAGTCAAATGGCAGCTGCAGGTTCAGTCAGTCAGCTAGGGGTTTCAGTCACCTAGAAATTTGACTAGGATTGTAGGATCCACTTCCAGGGTGGTTTGTTCACTACATGGCTGTCAAGTTAAGCTCCTCTTCATGTGGACGTCCCCTCAGAGCTTCTTGTGTGCTCTCATGGAGGCTGGCTTCCCCCAGAGAGAACAATCCAAGAAACCAAGATGAAAGCTTAAATACCTTTATACGCCTTGCAAAGCCTGTATCATTACTTTACCGCAACCACATTTTATTGGTCATACAGACGGGCCATGATTCAATGTGAGTATGGGCTATGAAAGGGTGTGAATGTCAAGAGGCGAAGATTATTGGGAGCATCTTAGAGGCTGGCTACCACAGCCATAATACTTTTTCTTTGCTTATTTGTGTTATCTATCTGTATGTTAGTGGAAGTAAACAAATCCAGGAGCAGAAGTAGACACAGAGTTAATTCTTTTCATATACTGTTGAATTCAATATTCTAATATTTTGTTGAGGCTATTTGAGTATATTTTCATGAGAGATATTGGTCTGTAGTTTTCTTTTCTTGTAATGTCTTTGTCTTATTTTGCATTAGGGTAATGCTGGCCTGAAAGAATTAGGTAGGAAGTATTTCCTCTGCTTCTATCTTCTGAAAGAAACTTGCAGATAATTGATATAATTTTTTCCTTAAATATTTGGTAAAATTCACCAGTGAACCTATCTGGGCCTGGTACTTTCCATTTGGAAGGCTATTAATTATTGATTCCACTTCTTTAATAGTTATACGTCTATTCAGATTATCTATTTTCTCCTTTGTGATTTTTGGCAGTGGTTATTGTTTTTAACTGAAATTCCTTTAAGGCATTAGACCAGTTGACACATAACCTGAAGACTATGTGTTCAAACAGAAACATATCTCAAGTGCAAGAGATAGGTCGGGCTGTGTGTTTTCCTGTTTGGCAAAATATCTATTACATCTTTCTATCAATGTAATAGAGCTCAAATATAATAAATCATGGCTACTTCTTGACTAGGACATTGATCACAAGTTGTTTATATTTGGGGGCCTACTGAGATTATTATCCATGGGTACCATTATGTTTAAATTAGATGCTAAATGAGTATCCTACAAATCTCAAAATCTATATAGACTGTTAGCTATTAGCAAAGTATTACTTCTGTTTACACAACTCTCCCTATATACATTATCATCTATACTCTTGGGGACTGCTATATCTCTTGGTACCACTAGCTTCCTATCCAATATTCATTCTTCTATTGTTTTATTAAAGCAACCCTAATTTTGTTTGGAGCAGCAAAGTCTCTGACTAAAAAAACATTTCTCCTGAAGCTTTCTTTGCACCTACGAGTTCTAGATAAAGCTTAGTAGGGAATGTTGGTAAAGTTCACTTTCATGATAGAGGCACAATACCTTCTTCCTTGTCCCTTCTCGATTTCTTTTACCTCCCTGGATGATAGACATAAGAATGGTGATAGAACAGTCACCTTGCTATCAAGAGATGACCAGGAAGATGAAAACCACATACAACAATGATGGGACACAAAGACGGAAGCCTGGAACATTTATGGCATTAGAGATGAACCACAAAAACTCTGAGATTCCTACTTTTTGTCTTCTTGTTATTTGAAAAACAAATCCCTATTTAGTTAAGTTGTTGGAGTTGAGTTTCTGTTACATAACATCAAATACAATCCTAGGATATCTCACACCTTCCTGAAAACCTAGTTCAAACCCATTTCTTCAGTAAGGCTTCTGGGATGTAATAATAATAACTCTTGCATGGTACTTTATTGTTTGCAAAGTACTTTCACGTACTTTATATCTTTTGATATTCATATCAGTCCTGTGGCCAGAATACCCTTCTCTTCACATTCTCACCTCTCTGGAGTCGATGCCATCCATTCCTATGCTGCAAACTGCACTGTAGAACAATGACTCCCAAGTACCTGCCTCCAATCTTGACCTCTCTTGAGCTCTAGATTTGTTTTACAACTGAATTCTGGGCACGCAGCTTAAACACAAGTACTTGAAAAATCTAAACTGTCTATAACTTAACCGGTTATTTTCTCATTTCAGGTCCCTAAACACTGCTCTTAATCCAGTATTACTTTAATAAATCTCAGTTAATATAATCACTCAAACTGACAAGCTAGGAATTTCAGAGTTATTCTCAATTCCATGCTCTCTATAACTTCCCAAAACAATCAGTAATCAAATCCTAGGTCACGGCCACTTCCATGAGATTAGGTTCTCATCATTTTTCTGGTGGACTACTGTTAAAATCATTTAACTGGCCTTCTGCAGAAAGGCATCCTAAAAGATAAATCAATTATTTTTATTTATTCATTCACCAAATAGTTAAATAACTGGTCTTCTGCAGAAAAGAACTCTAAAAGAGAAATCAATTATCTTTTATTTATTCATTCACCAGATAAGTATAGAGCACCTGCTACATAATACATATTATAATGTTAAAAATATGGTTTCAACAAAAAAACTTGACATGTTGTGGTAAGAAGCTAGTAAACCTAAAGTCAATATGGATTTAGCAAGTGATTATATTAGTGTTGAAAATGCAATGAAAGTAATAGGAATAAAATAATTTACTAAGGTGGTGTATTTTTAAAAGAGATTTATTTTCTTTGGTATTGTAATGAATCAGTAGGAAATATTTTAAAGAAATGAATTCATTTGGTTTTATGGAAATATAAGCAAAAATAAGTGTGATATACAGTTTAGAACACTAATTTCTAAAATACATTCTGTAAAATACAGCTTCTTGGGATTAAATTATCTCGAAAAGCTTTCTGTTGTTAAGTAAGCTTGAGAAACCACTGGATTAGACAAAAATAAGTAGGTTTGCATATACTAAGATGTATCAGTGTTAATATGCTCATAT